CGCTCTTCTTGTGTCAGTGATGTGTCTGTTTGTACTGTATGTTGGAGTAAGGACCTCTTTTCTTCTGCCATACAGGACAGTCTTTTCCTCTGTTCTTCCACTTTACTTGCAATACGTCTTAGAAAAGCTGCATTAACGGTTAAAGGTGTACCTTCTACAGCATAGGTGTCATACATACAATGCTCCAGCTGCATCTATCCACATACACTGTCATAAAGAAATCAATGACAATCCCAAATGGAAGAGATGAGAGAAAGCCTCCTACCTCACACCCTAGCTTTTGTTTTAATCTATTCATACAGATCTGCATTTAGACTAACTCTGCATATTGCACTGTGATATAAAGCTTTGATGATAATTATTTTAGCTGGCACAGCATAACACTTCAAAGTGACTGACAGAAAGACTGTCTAACGTAGTCTTAAAGTCCATGAAGCTCAAATGGAGTGTTTTTTGCTAGTTGGTATGTGATTTCATAATTATTTTTGAAGTAAAAATCTGGTCCCCATATAATTTTCCACATAAAAAGCCAGTTTGTGCCAGAATTTAGGTGTTTCAGCAAATAGTTTTTCAGAGACCCGATTTCACAAGAAAAGGTATGCTGACGCGCTGATCTGTGTCCTCTTTTTCTTACACATATACACATTTTAGAACCTGGCTTATATGATATGTTTCACCTACTAACACTGATCACATCTGTCTAGGAATAGTCATAGCTTTTATTTTTTGAATGTATTGTTATTGGTTCTGAAGTATTTTGTAATTATTGATCAAAAAGTTTTTCAACAGAATACATACCAAATTCCCCATTCTCCTTCATGACACTTGTTTTCCCTGAATTTGAAGATGCCTCTGTGACATCAGGAGCTCCTAAGATAAGGAAAGGAAAGAGGATATTTAGATAGAATGATCTGATACCTAGTTTATCTTATATATTACAATCTGTCATCTGAAAGCTCTGTAAAAACTCGGGGACATTAGAAAGTGCAGATGAGATTAAATAAAAAAGGTATGGCAATTCTTCCAACTTAACCATTCCAAAATCGTAACTCTGACAAAATGACTTAAGAGTCTTGAGAGTTTTTGAAAATTGCTGTTTGGGGAAGGTTATATTGACCTTGCGGTTTCTGCCACGATTGCTCTTATATTTTCCCCTTTGCCATGATACCTAAAAATGTGTGTTTTCAAATGGAAGGCAAGAACTGTATCTATCCATTTGTCTCTAGGAACTGTGACTTAAAAGAGCCCAAGCACTGCTCGCAGTTGTGGCACAGAGCGTTAGGAAAAAATTCCAGATCACCTCTGGGTTCCCATCTTTGTTTCTAAATGATTTTGTCTCTCTTCCATGGCTCATGGTGGTTTCTTTTATTACTCCTCACCCAACTTATTTATTGCAGCCTGGTTTACATTATTAGGAAGAAAGAATCTGTGTTGTTTGAGAAAGGCCTTGGTGAGGAACTGGGTGTTGCAACAGACTTGAACTATGTGAGATTTGGCTTCATACATACATGGTAGCTGGGATCACGCACCTAAGAAAGTTCTGCCTCTTTGTCTTACTCTGGCATTCTTTCACAGCAAAATTACTATTTAAGGCCAACAGTTGAATTGTCTCTGAGGCAGACAGAGCAGGTCTAAATTAAAGTCCCGATACACAAGGCTGGAAAGAACAATTTACAAAAGCATATCTGGCCATTAGTTTACAAGGCATGGATACAGCAGTGTATACAGAGACTTCTGTTGCTCAGAAGAGAACAATACAATTTGCAAATTGTTTGTGATGATTATCATCACTCCAGAAGAATGAATTATAATAGTCCATAAGGGCAATTAAGTCACCATTTAATGGGAAGGGAAATAGCAGGAAATGCATCCGTTACAACACATGTGCAAAATAAAGGAAGATTCCAATGTGATCTTCAGGCTATCTGAATTATCAGCAGTTGGCTGGCCTTGGATAAGACAATATTTTGACACATTTAACAAACCTCTCTGTCTGCAGAATATTTGTTTTCCCTGATTAGATGTAAGAAACTGACTGCAGAGCCATTTCATAAATACCTGTGAGATCTTGATAAAGACAAGTTTCACTGATGGAGATAAGAGTCAGAACCATTTTCATCAGTTTTTCATTTAGGCCAGCAGCCCTTCATTATTGATATAGGCACTCATGATTTTCTTAAAGCTTGTTCTCACTGACCCTGTGGCATGGAGATGGCCCAAGACCAGTAAGTTACAAAATCTTGCTCACAAACTGGGATGAGTCTTTTTCTCCCAGTATACTAAATGCTGTCATGCTAGGGACATTTTCATCTCACCTAACCTTAAATACTTAAACTGAGGCATCTGAAGTACACAGCCTCCCTTTATAATCAATGGACATGAACAGACATCTCCAGAGCATGATTTAACACACCTGAAATTAGAACCATTCTCAAGAAATGCCTCTGATTATAAAAGGAGCCTCAGGCCTCATGACTCCTAACTTCCATACCTAAGCAAATGCCTGATGTTACTTGTGGTAAATCCAGATCGCAGAAATTAGAAGGTATTTGTATAATACATTTCATGGAACAAGTATTACAACATTCTTCCAGAAATAATGGTACCTCAAATCATGAAGATGTATGTTTTTACTTTCATAACTGAAATCACAAACTACTAGAGTTATTTGTGGTAATCCTATAAAGAAGCAAATAACCAATACAATTATCCTAAACATAGTATAGAAAAAGGTAGCTTGTGGCCTTTATAGAGTGGGAAGACTTGAATTTCTTATACTAATTTCTCATTTTTTCCTGTTGTATCTACCTAGGCAAAAAACTTAGAAAGTTTGGGTATTTTTGAGGAGCACATACTTATGAGGTTGATTACTGATGGACTGCCGGCATGTAGGGATTCAAAGCTCTTCATAAAGGATCTACATTTCGATGAGGTGCCAGTGAGGATTTACCTCCCAAGAGTACCATCTGCAAGCAAACGGAGAGGAGTCATCTTCTTCCATGGAGGCTGTGGGATGTTTGGAAGCATCAGTAAGGAACTGAAAGAGAAAACATGATTATTTAGGATTTTTAACTATAATTTTTAAAAACTATCCTGAACCTAAGAAGTGACTGAAGCATAGCTTGAAAGATTGAGAGATAGAAAGCACTCTCCAGTTTACCCTTATTTAGTATCTAAATTATTTTTTATAGGATATAGAACTCTCTATGGCATATATATTCCTTACAGTAAGTGGTGCTGCTAAAGAAATGTTATTTTTTTGTCTGAAAACCTGACAGAAGTTATTAACACCTGCATTGCTCCCTTTCATCTCTAACAGAAGCATGTTTATTGGGACTTCTATAAACAGTGTTCATGGCAATTCAAGTGGCCTAGAGCAGCTATTTTAAAATGTTTGTCCATGATGCATGTGCTTTAGTTATATTGTCCTTTTTTTACAGTTTAAATTTATTAGAGAAAGCAGATAATTGCAAACGTGTAATATAAAAAGTTCTAAAATATAATGTTTCTACAGGCAGTAGACATGCACTCGTATTAAGTGGCGTTAGAATTCTGTCACTGAATGAACACATCATTGAGCATGTATCTGTAAACCAAATCTTCTAAATGCAGCAAATTAGGAATTAAGGTTGAAGGAAAACTCAATGTATCTTTAAATACATTAAAAGAGGCACATTTCTGCCGACAACCTTACCATGGAATAATTACATAATTAGACAATTTACTATAACAGAATTTGGATGCCTTAGATTTCTGCCTGAATTGGCCACACAGAAATACACTGATTTCAGAGGGTGCATACCAGCTGCGCCCTTCATTCTTCAGAGAACAGTCAAATCTCTGCTTCAAATACAAAATTCATTTAGACTTAGCTATAGTACTACAATCAGCATTTCCACAGCAAAATGATATGACATACCGAAGTCAGTCTCAGACTCAGTTACTTAAAACAATGTAATAAGCTTTTACAAAGATCTCAAGCTATTTTATCCCTTACAACCACTCTAAGCAACTGTGCATAATAATCATAGAATGGTTTGGGTTGGAAGGGATTTTAAAAGACCATCTAGTCCAACCCCTTTGCCATGGGCAGGGACATCTTTCACTAAATCAGGTTGCTCAAAGCCCCATCCAACCTGACCTTGAACACTTCCAATGATGGGGCATCCTGTTCTGTTGGGGAAACTGTTCTATTGTCTCACCGCCCTCATCATAAAAAACATCTTCCTTATATCCGATCCCATTCTACCCTCTCTCAGTTTCAAACCACTGCCCCTTGACTAATAGTAATAATCATAATTCCTTATTTTCCTTAGAGATTGACAATATCCCTAATGTATGAACTCCACAGTGTGTCTGATGATCAAGAGTCTGGATTAATTTTATCCTAGGGAAAATTTGGGTAGCTCACTAAATAGGCAAGGGGCCCACATAACAATCATGGCAGTATGTCATAGAAAAAGAAGGGATGATATTGCTTCAATTATTCTAAGATATTAATTACATTAACAACATTTGTTCTTCAGGAAGTCATGAAAGGATATGCCGGTGCATAGCCAGAAAATCTGACTCAGTGGTTGTGTCTGTCGGGTAAGTGAACTCCACCCAACATTACTCCCAGAATTTTAGTTCCGCTGCTTTCCCCCTTACTTCCCCCACCCCCTGAACAATGCCCATTCTGTACTTACATTACTTTGAATATAAGAAAAGAAACTGAGCTCTAGTGTTGTCTACCCCTACGCTGTTGATATGTGTGAGCAAGCATGTGCCACGAAATGACAATGAGAAATACCTGATACAGGTTTATAAAATTACAAAAGTAATAGGTATGCCAGCTATTTTCAGAAGAACAAAGAGATTTGTTCATTTGACATCGTTATCACCACAATAATAATTGCCTTTGTTCGATAATAAGAAATTATAAGCTTTTCCCCCCCAATTTCAGGTTTTAGTATTTAGGGAGCCTTGGGGATGATTTAAAAGAGTAAATAATAAGTCTAAAATTCAATACTTTTTTTTTTAAACCTGCAAGGATCACTGCTTCCTTTTAAAGATATTTTGCTTAAGGAAAATAGCTGATGGTATGAAGAAACTTTAGCTTCCAACAAATTGATCCATGAAAAAATTCACTACTAAAGAATTTTATTAAGTTGGGAGGAATTGGTTTTGAGAATGAATTGCATATTCAATATCTCATCTGGGTGAGTCACGATGCATTTAAAGTGACTCTGAAAAGATATCGATATCCTTTTATTCCCTGGTTATTAGGATGTTTACTTTATGAATCCATTGAATTAATTTCACAGAATAGTGAAAAAACAGAAAAGCAGCAGCAGTATGCCTCAGCAAACAGTGAAGGGTTAAGAGAAAATGCCTGCACTGTTACCTCTGCAGTATTTATCTTTTCCTTCTTAAACTTAATCTTCTCCAGAAAGCCCTAAGACCACGAATACAGAGAATAAAGAACCATGGCTGTTAAAAATGTAGTCTCAAAGTAGTCTTATATGTTATTGGAATCAAATTACAACACTTTAACTTGTCTGGCTATCTGACTGTTACGCCTGCCTTGGTTTTCATCATATGAAAGCAAGTTGTTAAGGAATAAACAGAGAGATTGATACTTTAACATCACTCCTCTGTAATTCACTTGTTCTAATTAATAAAATCAATGAAACATTGTCTGCAGGAAGCTATTTTGTCACCACAGTACTTACTATGTGGCGCTTTATAATATATTATTAAATTATTCTTTTTATATTAAAACATATAATAACCCACAATATTGAACTAATATATAATAATACAATAATCAGTGTAAAAAGCTCAGGAGCCAGAACTTGGTTGGCTCTTGTGGGTAAAGCAGGACTGACTCACAGCTATACGTACCTGCAAGGTATGTCACAGTCCAAATGAGAAAATTGGAGACTTCCCTGCTGGCATGAACTGTGATTCCCAGCAGGTGCACTCATATCAGGAATTGAGTAAATGTGTGGCTTTGTGAAGCTTCTGGTTTGCTTCAGCATGCGAAACTTTACTGGGTTTGGTGAGTTTTTGCAAATATATGGATGCACTTAAGATGACACATTCAAACAATTTACAAATATATCTATTTGTAGTAACTGCTCTCTTTTGAACATTTTAGGTATCATTTATCTCCTGAGCATAAGTATCCATCCCAAAATTTGGACTGTCTCGCTGCTACTGTACACTTTATGAAGACTGCAGAAAACTACGGGGTGGATCCTGGTCGGATTATTGTTTGCGGGGATAGTGCAGGGGGCACTTTTACTGCCAGCGTTTGCCAAGAACTGGTAAATAGAAGAGATATCCCAAAAATATGTGCCCAGGTACTGATCTATCCACTTCTCCAAGCATTGAACTTTAATCTGCCATCTCACCAGAAAAATGCTTTCGTCGCCTTCTTGTCCCGAGAACGTACAGTCCGTTTTATTCTGAAGTACTTGAAAAAGGATTGCTCTATGAAGGAAGCTATTTTGGCAGGTTCTCATGTTCCTGAGAGTATGAATTTGAAGTATAGGAAATGGATAAATCCAGATCTTATCCCAGAGATATTTAAACTGGGCTATAAACCACCGTTACCCACTTCATTTTTACCTCAAGTCCATGAAGAAGCGAAAGAACTGTTTAACACAAGATTTTCCCCCCTGTTAGCAGAAGATGCTGTTGTTTGCTGCCTACCTGATACCTGTATAATTACCTGTGAGCATGATGTGCTCAGAGATGATGGATTGTTGTACAAGAAACGGTTAGAGGACAACAACGTAAAAGTGACCTGGTACCACATGAAGGAAGGTTTCCACTGTGCCCTGGCATTTTTTGGTTATGGTATTTTCTCTTTTCCATCGTCAAGTAAAATGGTGAACTACACCGTAAACTTTATAAAAGGCTATTAAACTATTTTCTTGAATATACTGGTATGCAGAGAGAGTGTATTTCAGTTAACTATTTACTAGCTATTTGTACATTAGAATCTAGGCAAGAAATAATAAGATTAGCATGGTCTACTGAATTCTGATTTTCAATTGCTATTACTTGAGAAAATGATGTATTTTTCATTATCTTTTTTTTTAACACCATTAATTAGTATGCTAGTTTTGCTGTTCTCTTCTTGTGTTGTAAGAATTTTTGTTCTCTTCTTAGGTCAAAGAATCAAAACTCACAAAAAAAAAAAATTTTAAAGCATGCAATGTATGAGCAATCAGCAATGGGCCTAGGCATATCCACATAATACACACAACATCAGCATGACAGCACAGACAAAATGCCCCCCCCCAACGCCTCTGGAGATTGAAGATATTTTCAGTACTTCTGAGATGAGTAGTAATCATCAGGCTATGTGTGTAGGCAACCAGGAGCTTTGGACTTGGTTGTAAAATCTGACGGAGGGAATTGGGTGTACTTACAAATCTGATTTTAAAGTGAAATGGCTGACACAGAAGCGAGGTACAGAAATGTGAGCTGTACGAAGTGGCTGCCTGTAAGTATCTGAGACTGGCAACACTGATGGAGTAAGGGAGAACCGCACCAACATAACTGAATGTCCTCTAAACTACATTCTATAAAGTTCCTTTCTGAGAAGCATTTGGTAGTATTCAGGGAAGACAGAGACATGATGTTTATTGCCTTTTTGTAATCAGGTAAGTAATCAACTTGTTTGCTTGGAATTTGGGGAGAAAGTATGTAAACACCATGGAAGCTGCCAAAATAATTTCTGTGAATATCCAAAACACGGAAGGAAAAAAAAATAATCTCAGCTCAATTGTTACATTGCTTATTAGGATAGATCCACCTTTGCTAAACACAGATGCCAAGGTAATTGCCATTGCATGTCAAGATAGCTGGCCACGCAATGCCTAGGAATTGTAAAATACTTCATCACTGTTATGCAACAACCTTGCACTTGTAATACCTACGCACACACAAGCGTGGAAAGAGGTTAGTACGTACCTTCACACTCTGCCAGCCAAACTGTGAGTAGGAAGAAAATGGTGGGTTAAATTCTTCGTGTTGTCACTGTATTAATTAAATATGGTGAGAAGTTAGCAGTTACAAATCTCTGGAGCAACAAGTTGTTGCTTGTGAATTCCTGTTCTCCAGTCCCCCTCAGCAAAATGAAATGATGTTTCTTCATCCTCTGTTGACACAACAGATATTTGTTTCATTTTTCCTACTGCGGGGATCATCAATTTACTCTTCAAACAAGGACATTCTTCCAGGAATAAATAACATGATAAATTTCCAAATGTTCCGCTGTTGGAGGATTACAGAATTTGTCTTGGTTATGCAACGTGATATGAAATTGAGAATTTGGTTTGGTTTCTGATCTCAAGATGAAGGCTGGCTTACTAGCTTACATGTTGGTAGCTGAAACTAGACCAGCAGAGTCGCTATCTGCTGTGAAAGCTATGCAAAAAGCTGGATAATATTTGAGCAGTTAATCTATGTCTGCTAAGTTAGCTTGGATATGTCTTCATGAACTTGAGTCAAACGTGTGAGAGTCATTAGGCTTATCTTTATTTAGGATCATTTTTATTCATGTATCACTCTTCTTTGCATCTTCTATACCAGGCTTGTCCTTTGGATGATTCTGTGCAGATACAGGGATGGTTGGAAGTGCCAGAACTAAGGATGTCCATAGAACTCCATTTGTATGTTTTAAGTTATGAGATGATCACATACGGTCATCTATGATCATCACATGTGATCACATACTATTTTACACACATCTCACCCAGTGCAGCGTGTATTATACTCCTTGTCAGTTCAGCAATCCAATACTTGTTTTCTTTTCATTATTCAATCTCTGGACTTAGGCCTCATTTATGGGCCAATGTCCAAACTCTACACTGATCTCCTCCTGAGATTTTTCCATGGTCCTTTATCTGTAGGTCTTAATTTACTATAAATATTAATAAATTTATCTTTAAAATATGTCAGCAGAATTATTAGCTCTCTTGAACACATGCATTTTAATCTGTATTGAGGGTTATAACCATGGTAGTGCAGATGGGCAGAGTAGCAGAGAACAGCAAGTGCTGAAACAACGTATTCCTTTTCTAGTAGTGACTCCTGTATTTTCTAAAATTTAGAAGTCACATGATCTAATTGTCTCCATGGAAACTCCTGTCCTCTCATTTATTTTAACTAATTACAGATATGCTGTGTCTTGCATTGCAAAGATAGAATGTTTGTTAATTTGAAGACATTTTATAGTTTCCAAAGTGTGGAATTCGTTTTCAAAATTATCACTCATTTAAAGATTTTTCTTTTTTCTAGGGAGAGACACAAAATAATTTTTACTAGCCTCTACACATACACTTCCTGACAGCATGTTCATCTCACTGTCTGCATGTTCAATGAGCTACAGTCAAGTACTTAAAACACAATCAAGCTCAAGCTTGCAGTGCGCGTCCAGAATTATGGACACCAATGTATTGCTACAAGGAATTACACATAACAGAGAAATAATCATAGATACAAGTGTGTGCACACAAGTTATCGTGTAAAATAAGCCATTAACAGATCTTGTCAGTGCTTTGCATACAAGCTTAACAGCTAATGGCAGTCAGAGTATGTCGCTGAGGACCTGACTATGCTAGCTCGGTTTCCAGGTTCAGATTTCAAGCACCAGATGGCTCTCACGCTCCACAGAACTCAAAGGAGCTTCTTGGGGGTCAAGCAGCACCTTCTCTCGGGAACGTTTCCCAGTACCCGAGTACAGGCATCCATTCACACTTGCTGTGTCCAAGTCTAAGCACCTAATCAGCATCACGATTCAGAGACAGGCAGAGAGTTCTTGGGACCGCCTGATTGCAACTGGCTCAGCCTCTGTCTCCCCCAGCATCTGTAGCTACGCAACAGAGAAAAAGCTTAAGGATGCCAGCTCAGTATTGCCAAGTTTCCAGGCACTGACATTCATCTCTTCACTGGAAATTAGTAAGAAAGGGAGTTCCTGGTGGAGGAGAAAATGCAATCTTGGCCTCAGGAGCCATTTCCTCTGGTCTATCTCACAGGAGCAACAGATAAAGTTAAAAAATCAGAAGCTGGAGAGAGCATGCATTTGAATGATTATTTAGGGAGTGGTTCTCCATCCTGGGACTCAAGCAAGCTCATAAATTGCTGAGTCTACGCTTATAAAACATTAAGTATTACTCTGTACCTGTAATGCCCAAAACAAAAAACAGTTTATTACTTCAAGAACCAACTAGTTTGTTTCTTCCACAGCTGGTATCAGATTCCAGCACATACAGCATACAGCCTGTGTGTGGAGCCTCTAGGGTTGGTGAGGGTGCTGTGACGGCTGGACCTAGTTAACACGCCCAGAAAAGTCCAAGACCCACCAGCTGTTGGTAAAGCTACCACAAGGACTGGCACCAAAAAGATTTAGAAAACAGATGAACCATAGGTGGTAAGAACCTTAGTACAAAGGATCTGTCAGAAGACTTCTTAGATCCCCAGAGGGGCCAAATCTGATAAGTATACTTAGACCACACCTAACTCAATGGGACACCACAGTTTAGCACAAAGCTGATTAATTACTTGCACTATTAAATGCTAAAGAAGGGAGCTGCAACCATGTTTTGTATAACAGCATTTCCTAATGTTCTTGTCCGAGCTAGAAGAAAGCTGAATCCTATAGGCACCTCGGTCCTGACGGGTTTGAATTCCCCACTTCCATTTCCCAAGAGAATGTCCCAATTACCAGGCAATGAGCCTTTCGCCAACAACCCTTGTTGAGCTGGGTGACTGCATCAAGTGCCACAAGGAAGAATAAACAAAAATAACCTGATTTTATACTTAGAATGTAAACAAGCTTCTGGCAAAGGAGGGAGAGGTAAGAGAGACACTGGGAAATGAAAGTCTGCAAGGAGTTGTTGGATAAAATGAAGAAACAGTTTAGGCAGAGGGAGCCAAACACAGAATCTGCTTCTTCTCAGACAGTGTATCACCAGACTCTAAAATGAACTTCCTTCCTGTTTATTCTAAACAATTGACAAAGAGTTTCTAAAGGCAGAAATCAAGTCTGAGGTCTTCTTTCCTATACAGGTCATGGACTGCGCATTCTAAAGCTCTAGGGTTCTGTGTATTTAAGTTTCATTTTAATATACATCTCAAGGTCATCTTACCCCTTGCACTCTTTTTTTTTTTTTAAGGAAAAATGTTACACACCCATTTTACCCATAGTGCTACTCTTCAGAGCGAGTTTGTTGCCTTCACGGTTGGAGCAGACTGGTAAAAAGACACTGTTCTCAAGGGTGACATCCTATGAGCTGAAAAAGCTTTGCTTTACAGATTTTTTGTTTCAGGTTAAATCTTATCACTAATGATTTGTGTACTGAAAAATATGTTAGTTCCAGCAGAAGGCACAGATCCTAAAGCTCACCACAGAGTACACAGAAAAGAGCAGGCTGCTGCTGGCTAGTCATTGCTACTAGTGCTAAAACCACGAAGTCCAAGTCTAGTGTTCAGCAGCTGGAATCATATTTCTACCTGGAATGACACCTGTAAGTAATATATTCATGAGAAGACAGAGACTGCAGTACTGTAAAGCTCAACCAAACACAAAACAAACAAACAGTTGGTACAGGCTTTCAACTGCTGGAGAAAAGCTATCAAGGAGGATGAAGCAAGATGCAAAGCACTGACACTTCAGGCTGCAGCTGCTTCTGGTTGCATTAGACTCAAAGATGCAACATAGCAGTGTACAAAATCAGTCATCAAAGGTGATGAAATACGTTTGCGACACAGAAACCTTGATTTCACTAAAAGTCTGAAGAAGTAAGGTGTGGAGGGAGGCACAATAAATCAAGAAACTGAGCAGCTCTGAAGATGATTACTAAAAAATCCTGTTCCACAGGAATTCACAGGAACTCAGAAATAACACAGACTTGAC